CCACCCCAAAACTTTGATAATAGCCCAGTGAGACTAATTTTGGACTTTGGCCTCCTGGACCCCAAGAGTATCCACTGCTGCTGTTGGAAGCCACCAGGTTTGTGGTGCCTTTTTACAGCAGCTGTAGGAAAAGAATGCACCAGGCTAAGCGATCCCCCTTCCCACACTGCTGCCTGCCTCTGCCAGCTGATGGGCCTGTCCACGTGGGCCAGGCAGGGTGAGCCTCACTACCTGCGGTGGCAGCAGCATCCACTGAGATGTCTGTTCCCGCAACAGTCCCGCCAGTCTGGAGTGCATGTGCCTGGAGATGGGCAGTTTCCAGAAGGCTCCACCTGCTCTCAGACTGTGGATTGAATATTGAAGCAGGCTGGTGGCACTTTTTTCACTTTTCATCAAGCATTTCCCAAAATAGCATAAACACAGCAAACAGGAGAGCAGCCTCGGCTTGGTTGTGTGTGGCTTGTTAGTTGCCGTAGCGGTGGCGTGGAAGGCACGTATGTAAAATACTGGGTCTTCGTAACTGCAGTCTTTTGACCAGAGAAGCGTGTGGGTGTGGTGGGTGGGCAGTCTGTGCCGAGCATCGGCTGTGCTTGGTTTGTTCTCGATCGTCGGGCACGCAGGGGTCGTGTGTGGGGCTGTGGGGCTGTGGTGCACCCCTGAGTCAGGGTCGCTCACATCAGTGCATTGTCAGCACCTCCTTTTCCTGGTTTGGGGAGGACTTGCTCCCTAACTGCACGAGGCCAGAGCAGCATGCTTGTGCAGTTAACGGGTGAGTGTGGGAGGGTCAGCCCAGCTGCTGCTGCTGGAGCCAGAGGCCAGCACCATGGCTCTGCCGAGCTGGGCACCTTCAGACATGCTCTGCTCGGAACCCTCCCTGTGTCGTTTCCTGCCTCTCCTCCTTGCTTACTCGACCCCAGCCACCCTGATATCCCCGCCTGCTGTCCCTAGAACACACTGAGCAAGTGCCTGCCCACTGTGAGGTTAGAGAGGACAGTGCCCCCAAGCCCACCCTCACCCTTACACCAATGGCAAGCTCGGGGGTCTCCAGGACTACTCTTAGCTTTGATAATTCGCTGGAGGCCCTCCCAGAACTCACTGAAAGCTGTTGTGCTCAGTTTATGACAGTTTATGATGGTGAAGGGACACAGATTGGCATCAGCCAGGGCAAGAAGCACGTGGGCAGAGTGGAGGAAGATTCTGAGGCGGGGCTTCTGTTGTCCTCTCACTGTGGAGTTGTGGGTGGCATCACTCTCCTGGGGATGATGTGTGACAACATGCATGGAGTGTTGCCGGCTGGGGAAGTCACCTGATCCTAAGTGTCC